TCCAGTCTCCACACCACATCCAGTTCAAATAAATAAAAATAGGATGAATAACTCGATATATGAACTTGATAGACAATATACTGTAAATAGACTGAATCAATAAATTATCAAACAATAGTCCTGTTCAAAATATATATAATTTGAAGATCTAGAGAACAGGAGATAAATGGAAAGAGGGAAAAGTTTGCCTTTCACGCATTCAGGTATATGATGATGTGTTATTGGGCGGGATGGCATTTCCGTCTATCTCACCCGCTTGTATACCATCACGTTTACCTGTGGAACGCTCGGACCTACCGCCTTTAAACTTGAGGTCAGATTCCCTGCACCCTGATATTTTCCCACCGTAAAACCGGTCAAGATTAAGGTCAGTGGGGACAGCGAAGGTCAGGGTCGCGGTACAAGGGCACAACTTCCTGGGGGATGTTTTTCTTGATAGCTCCGAGTGACCGACTCCTTATAGTAGTGGATATTATTCATTTTGTACGTTATTTAAATTGTTATTATTCTATTACTTGAATTCTTTTATTTCCGTTTGTTTATTCATGTAGTTGTGCGTGTATTTGTTTATATTCAGGGGGTAACTACACACCCTGTTGTTTCGAGCCGCCCTGACCCGCCCTAGTTTGTGCTCCCTATTTTATTTTTAGAAACGAGTGAAATGGAGATCCTGGAGCGTGATGATGAGAAAAATAATGACTGGAGGGGCAGGAGGTAGATGAGGAGAGAAGATTGAGGTATCCGGTGTGTGTGTGTGTTGTGTTCACTGCCAGTCTTATTCCCACCACCTCCCTCCAGCCCCCACATTCCACTCCACACAACCCTGTCTGTGCTGGTATTGTTGTTGCTCTACTGCTGTTGTTGACTCTTGCTGGTGTTGTTGCCTCTACTGCTGGTGCTGTTGACTCTACTGCTGGTGTTGTTGACTTCTACTGTTGGTGCTGTTGATGCTGGTGCTCTACTGCTGCGTGCTGTTGCTCTACTGCTGGTGCTGTTGACTCTTGGTGCTGACTACTGCTGGTGCTGTCTGTCTCTACTGCTGGTGCTGACTGACTGCTGGTGCTGTTGACCTACTGCTGGTGCTGTTGACCACTGCTGGTGCTGTTGACTCTACTGCTGGTGCTGTTGACTCTACTGCTGGTGCTGTTGACTCTGGTGCTGTTGACCCTGTTGTTGGACTCTACTGCTGGTGCTGTTGACTGGCGCTGCTGGCCCTACTGCTGGTTGATGCCTGTTGGTGCTGTTTCTACTGCTGGTGCGTTGACTACTGCTGGTGTTGTTGACTCTACTGCTGGTGCTGTTGACTCTCTACTGCTGGTGCTGTTGCCTCTACTGCTGGTGCTGACTCTACTGGTGCTGTTGACTGCTACTACTGCTGGTGCTGTTGACTCTACTGCTGGTGCTGTTGCTCTACTGCTGGTGCTGTTGACTCTACTGCTGGTGCTGTTGCTTCTCTGTGCTGGTGCTGTTGACCCAGCTGGTGCTGTTGCTGCGGTGCTGCTCCCTACTGCTGGTGCTGTTGCCTACTGCTGGTGCTGTTGACTCCCACTGCTGGTGCTGTTGACTCACTGTGGTGTTGCTCTACTGCTGGTGCTGTTGCCCACTGCTGGTGCTGTTGCTCTACTGCTGGTGCTGTTGCCTCTACTGCTGGTGCTGTTGACTCTACCTGCTGGTGCTGTTGACTCTACTGCTGGTGCTGTTGACTCTACTGCTGGTGCTGTTGGCTCCACTGCTGGTGTTGTTGCTGCTGGTGCTGTTGACTCACTGCTGGTGCTGTTGACTCTACTGCTGGTGCTGTTGACTCTCACTGCTGTTTACTGCTGGTGCTGTGCGTCATTGCTGGTGCTGTTGACTCTCTACTGCTGGTGCTGTTGCCTCTACTGTTGGTGCTGTTGACTCTACTGCTGGTGCTGTTGACTCTACTGCTGGTGCTGTTGACTCTACTGCTGGTGCTGTTGCCTCTACTGCTGGTGCTGTTGCCTCTACTTCTGCTGGTGCTGTTGACTCTACTGCTGGTGCTGTTGACTCTACTGCCTACTGCTGGTGCTGTTACTGCTGGTGCTGTTTGCCTCTGCTGGTGCTCTACTGGTGCTGTTACTGCTGGTGCTGTTGACCTCACTGCCGGTGCTGTTGACTCTACTGGTGACATTGCTGTTGCTCTACTGCTGGTGCTGTGCCTCTACTGCTGGTGCTGTTGACCCCACTGCTGCTGTTGCTGTTGCCTCTACTCTACTGCTGGTGCTGTTGACTCTACTGCTGGTGCTGTTGACCTCTCACTGCTGGTGCTGTTGACTCACTGCTCTACTGCTGGTGCTGTTGCCCTACGCTGGTGCTGTTGCTCTACTGCTGGTGCTGTTGACCCCACTGCTGGTGCTGTTGACACTGCTACTGCTGATACTCTTTGCCTCTACTGCTGGTGTACTGTTGCTCTACTGCTGTTGGTACTGCTGCCTCTACTGCTGCTGGTACTGCTCTATTGTTGTTGTTGCTACCCCTACTGCTTGGTGCTGTTGCCTCTTCTGTTGCTGCCCTACTGCTGCCCCTCTACTGCTGCTGCTGCTTCTACTGCCGGTGCTGCCTCTACTGTTGTTGCTGCTGCCGCCTCTACTGCCGGTGCTGCTGCCTCTTATGCTGCTGCTGCCTCTACTGCTGGTGCTGCCTCTAAAGTTGCTCCTGCTGTTGTTGCTGCTTCTACTGTTCTTGGATTTATGGATTTAATGATGTTGGTCCCTGTATTAGTATTGCTGTTACTCCATGATTTAGTGCTGTTGTTACTATATATATATATATATATATATATATATATATATATATATATATATATATATATATATATATATATATATATATATATATATATATATATATATATATACAGTATATATATATATATCACACACACTGTTCTTGTCTTGACACTCACTAAATATACTGTACTGTATTGTACTGTACTATTACGGTATTGTACCCCAGTCTTCCTGCTGCCTGTGTTACACCACTACCTGTACCTGTCTGGCTTGGGCTGAAGCTCATTTATACTTCCTACTCTTCCTTGTCCTTCACTTTTTCCTCTTCCTTTACCTCCTCCTCCGCTTCCTCCTCCATTACCTTCTCTTCTTCCCCCTTTACCTTCTCTTCCTCCTCCATTACCTTCTCTTCTTCCCACTTTACCTTCTCTTCCTCCTCCTTTACCTTCTCTTCCTCCTCCTTTTCCTTCTCTTCCTCCTCCTTTACCTTCTCTTCCTCCTCATTTACCTCTTCTTCCTTCTCCTTTGCATCTTCCTCATCCCTTGCCACTACCTTCTCCCTCTTTACCCACGGTACCTCTTCCTCCTGCTCCTCCACCCTGCAATTTCCTTGTTCTGTACAAATTAAATATGTTATCCAGGAAATCTAAAGTGTGAAGTGACAATACCACTACTTTGAAATGGCTGGTGACACTATTGACATTATCCGTGACATTTTCTTGTTGACATATGAATAGATTGAACTATCTGTCGGCTGTTTTAATTTCATGCCGGGGGAATTATTTTCACGGTATTTCCGAAAATGTGTAATGATTATTCAGTGCTTTTTAGCAGTACAGTGTGATTGTGATGAATTGCTACTTAGTATGGGTTATATGTTCCCGCCTGCCTCTGGTGGGGTATGAAAGATGTGTAATACAGTATATATATAGTGTGTGTGTGTAATAATAATAATAATAATAATAATAATAATTAACGGTTTATTGAAAAAGTTCTGCAGCCCGAAGGCTGAAAATATACATTGGACATAAATGACTTATTACATACATTGGTGGTTTAACACAAGCCTTCATTAGAAAAAGGTAAAAGAACATACAGTGAACATACAGATTAATGTAGGTGTTGAACAGCAAACACGTAGTGTAGTAACTCCCTCCCAGATGGTGTTAGGGGGGACCTGACGTGATGTAGTAGTTCCCTCAGATGGGTTATGAGGGACCTGGCGTGGTGTAGTAATTCCCTCACAGATGGTGTTATGAGGGACCTCACGTGGTGTAGGAATTACCTCAGATGGTGTTATGAGGGGCCTCACGTGGTGTAGTAACTCCCTCACAGATGGTGTTACGAGGGACTTGACGTGGTGTAGTAATTCCCTCACATATGGCGTTATGAGGGACATGACGTGGTGTAGTAATTCCCTCGCAGATGGTCTTATATGAGTGAGGTGTGGTCCCAGGCCTTCCTATCGTAGACGGATTAACACATCGCTGGTTGTTGTTGGGTCTCACGGGCCGTTATCACTGGGTACCTGGGACCTCACTGTGTGAAGGTTAACTTGGGTACGACTGTTACTGTTGAGTTGTTCTCACTGACTTAAGCACTGTTCACCTCTGTTTAACACTGGTTCCGTTCCTTTCCTAAATGAAATTGTATCTTCTGGCAAGAACTTGTTGATATTCCTGTGGGGAGGAGGGTTCAGGGGAGGGGGTTGGTATGGGCCAACTTAACAGTTGACCTGGCTGCTCCGAGAGGAGCGCCAGGTACGTCTTGACCCTTCGGTGGTCAAGGATGTGTGTGTGTTTTGATCAAATAGAAATGGACATTAAGGAACTATTGTACAGTATAGTATGTTAATTTAACACAATAAGATTTCAGGTAAGGTTGATGCCTGGTTATTTTCCTGCAATACTTTTGGGAGTTATGACCCATATTTTTTGTATGATGACAGGGTGGTCCTACACCTTGTTGGTTAATTTATTATGTATATCATTAAATGTTCCCGTAAACTTGAATGCAGGTACAGTATCATTATTAATTTAGTTTTGTAAAGAATTATGTACTTTACTGTCGTTCTTTATCATACAGCATAATGAATACAGTAACAAGATTTAACTAAAAAGGTTATGTTGTATAAGGTGAATCCAAAACATAATACAGTACAGTGACATAAAATTTCAGTTGAATTTGCATTGTTAAATATACTCTCCTCTTATCACATTTTTATTAACCTTAAGATTTTGCTTATGTTTGCAGGGTGTGTCCGGGGCTGAGGGATCCGGGCGGGGAGGGACATGAGGTCGTCAGTGAGCGTTATCCTCTCCAACCCACCGCCCGACACTACCATGAGTTACCCAGATTACTGCACAAGCCCCCACCACCACCAGACCCTACTGGTGCTCGTCAGACAAGTGGGTCAGTCACATTCAGACAAATTTCTGCTTTTGATATACGTACATGTTATCCTTACAAGGTAGTAATAATAAATGAGGGTATGAACTGTTGATGGAGCAGTAGAGGTTGTTTGATAGGAGATGGGGAGTGAAGAAGAGGTAATGGACAAGGGCTTTAATGACATTTGAAATCTTCATTATTTTCCAGATCTCACTTCATATTTGAGAAAATTTATTTCCCTTACCCCATTTTTCCTCAGTACCTGTACATGTAATTTGTAAGTGATTTTTTTTTCCAACTTTGGAATCCATTTCTCACAATGCTGCAGGGTTGCTGGAACTTAGACAAAACAGAATTTCCCTTCATATACTGTCACCTATTCACTTGTAACTGCTGTAACATCCCCACTAACCACTTAATACTAATGTACAGTAAAGTATTTTCTCTTATCATTCATGCTTTCAAGTTCTTGCTAGATGTCCGTCTCTCCTATTTCTAGAACAGTACTTTGTCTTTTACCCCTTTCTTCCATCTCCTTCTTTCCTTTACTCTCTCCATACCCAACTACTGTATTTCTGAATTGAACGTATTTTCTTTTTCTTTTACCAATATTATCTAACATCTCATTATTAATTGTATTTCTACCAAAATTAATTATGTACTGCCATTGGGCCTCATGTAAAGTACCTGTATATTTTTTTCCTAAGATCATATTGCATTAATATAAACTGTAAAATGCACAAATTAAAGTTAATAAGGTTATATAGAGGTGATGTGAATACTGTGCTGTACTGTACTGTATTTCCTAGAGCTTTCTAGTCTCTCAAGCCTTGTGCATGTGCAGGTATTTTGTTTCATGCATAATTATGTGATCTTACATTCTATCACTAATTGTATTATGCACATATATAAATGATAAAATTTCTGATTCATCTGAAAAGCCATATTGTGTACAGTACATCTAACCATTATGTTGTACAGTACTTATTAAATCAAATACTTTGACATTTTTTTAGTTATTGTCTAGCATTTGTATTTCCTATCACTCTTTCTTGCCATAAGTTTTTTTAGTTTCCTTTGCACATGGCATGAATGTGTAATAACTACTGTATATCAATAAATATCTTTGAATATTTATAATCTATTGACATTAACAGAATCATTAACAAAGAATCTGGCAGTATAGGTGTACTGTAATCTAAAGAATCAAAGCTTTCCAAAAGTATAATACCAATCAACTTTATCTCAGTTAACTGCATTATAGAACTTTTGACTTAAATAATCTAGTTTTTCATTGGTTTTCTATGTGAGTTGTCTTTATTGATCGGCATCATTTCATTTTCAGGGTCCCAATTAAAGAGCCGTTCATTTCATAAGCTCTATGATCGCATTAGTCGTGTAGGTCAAGTTAAGGTAAGTGATTCAAATGGGTCCCAACGCCCGGTGTGGGTCACTTACCGACGTGATTACCCCGTGGAGAACAATGACTGGGGAGACTTCCAGACACATCGCCGAGTTCTTGGCATTATCACAATAGGTAATAATGCAGACTGAGATGCAGATGAAAATATTTAAATATATACAGTACACTAAAAGAGTTTATTTAATCACATTCTGCATGTTAATAAATTGTTTATAATGAGATACTGATTCAGTTACAGAGAAAAGAGTGCATTTTCTACTTAAAAGTGTCATGCTACTTTTCAAGTGAAATGTCATGTGGACATCAATATTTTTTTTTGTCAGATTTTGTCATTGTTTTCAATATAGTATTTATTTTATATTTTTCAGGTCAAGTGGGTAGCCAAAGTGATCTAAATGACATTTGTAAACAACATGAAAGCCTCAAAGTTAAATACTCGTCCACATTGTATGACTCTCGCTGTATTATCTTGGGTCTTAACCCAGATGGTACTATGTATGAGGCAGATTCTCGTGGACCTTCTCGGGGTACCTCTCCAGAACCCAATGGAGGGCTGGATTCTGGCCCTCACCCTCTGGCTATTAATGGCCATACTCACCCGACACATGTTAAGAAGATCTCTGCAGGTAGTACTGATAGAGACAGTGGTGTATATGAGACAGTTAGCGGTGAAGATAAACCTACAGATTCTGACAGCCACTCAGATAGTCCACAGGGTCTCTCAGAGGGTACAACAGACCTCAAGATTGAGGCTAATCACGTTAATGGGTCGGACTCAGGGAGTGAAAGTACAAGTGAAGTTGGTTGTTGTGATGATAACAAGATAGATTCTCCACGGGATTCAACTGCAGATTCTGCCCCAGATTCATCTCACGACTCTGCTCATGATACCAGCCAGTCCTCCATCAGTACCTCAACCTCCCATTCCTCAAGACTCTCCCTCCAACCTCCGTCTAATTTTAAGACTCGAGCTCTCTTCTACCCAACTGGTGACCATGCTGTAAACATTGAAAGTCAGCTACAAGAGTTTGTTAGCTCATTATTTTGGGTGCTTGAGTCAAAGCGTCTAGATAAAAGTCAAGAAAAATTGGAAAGACCACCCCTGTTGTGCGCTCCCTTTGAACGTAAGGTGAGTAATTTAACATGGATTGTTAAGCGACCTTTTTGTGAACCCCTTAAGCAGCATCTGCATTTAATGATAACTGTCTTATTTCTCGATTTTTAAAACATAAAGATTGTAGATATATTAATCACTGTAATGTTTGTATTTTCATTAACACTTCTCTTCTTGGGCCACATTCACAACAGAGCACGCTCCAGTACACTAGTCTGTCCTCTGCAGTCTTAAAACTACAGTATACACTGTATAATACAATACTAATTTACAAACCTTTTTGTATCTTGTTTCACTGTCTTTCTTGATCCCTCAGATCCTTAAGAGACACAGTATTGTTTTTACTTTATACTTAATCATAAGGAACTTTACAATACTGTAGTACTTCAATACTTAATTGATACCCAAATTACTTTCCTTTTTTTTTTTTTTTTGCCTTCCAAGTACAGTACAGTACTGTACTCTATTGTAAACCAGTCTTCTAAAAGAATGTACAGCATAAAGATTTCCAGTTGTTAAAATGCTTTTTAAAGATATAAAGAACTGAGCAAGTGCCTGGCTTATTTTAAGTGTTTTTTTATGGTGATGAGTCCACTCGGGCACAGGTCACCAACCTGAGGGGGGCGAAAAAAGGACTAAGGAAAAAGTAAATTGCACCATAAATAAATACAAAAATGGAAAAAATTTAACAATTCAAGAGTGAAAACAATATATATATGTTATGTTGTCAAAGTAAGAGAAACACTTGATTCCTAGTAATTGTGTGTAAATTAGACAGAAAGTCAGTCAGATCAACAACCTGGGACTTGGTCACATTTTTTGTGATGCCATATGGCTGCAGGGTTTACCATTAAACAACACATTATGCTTCCAATATCTTCCCAGTCGGTAGTACCTCCCTGCTTAATAGCTGCCTACTACCTTAGTGAGGTTTTTAAAATGTGAATTCTCTACTGTATGTAGAAATGTACAATATTCTAATACTGTACAGGTATTATGGCTAACACACACTTGTGGAAAATGGCCATAAAAATTTTTATGATAATGATTATGGCGATGAACCACTATATGAATGTATTGTACTGTATTCAGTAATCCCTTAATTTCTGTAGGGGTCATGTTCCTGGAGAATGCCATACACGTGAACTCTGGAACAATGAAAGTTAATAACTTGGGGTGGAAAATGGGATTCCTTCTAGATCCCAAATTTTTACAGTCATCCCTTCATAATCAGGATTTTTAACTTTCAGGTTAGGTGTCAGGCATACATGGGCATCATATTGCTGCACTGTGTCTGTCCTGTATTTGATGTAAAGCATATTATATATTCATTGTCCTTTATTAGAAGAAGAAGTTTTAGGACTGCTCGTACTCGTTTTTTTTTTTTTTCGTGTTGGTTAAATTACAATAATTTACCTGTTTTATTACCCAAAACTACTCCTCCTTGCGTTGTGTTGTAAAGTGAGGAGCTGTATAAGATTATAAATTATAGTTGGTTCTTTCTTTATAATACATACTGTATAGGCTTCTCAGTGTTGGTAACATTACCCATATTGGCTAATTCTTATTTAACCTCAGCTAATACAATAATTCAATTGAATCTTAATTAGGATTTTATTGGTTTGGACATGGACTCACGAACGAACAAGAAACGATGTGTCGGCCGGTTAAGGAAACAGCTGGCTGACCTAACATTGCAAGCAGGGTTACCAACTGAAGCCATCATGCATTATAGTCATGCTGCAGACACACTCCGCAACTGTAATGATTGGCTCTGGCTCGCTGGTGAGTTTGTATTTTGTTTTTTTTATGTCTAATGATCATTTTATGGCTACTTGCCCTTCATTAGGGAGCTCTAAGAGTAATGTGCCCACAAAGTAGAGATGTGCAGTCAGTGCAACTCACAGACAGATCCCAAAAATTATGCAAAAACTAAAGCTGTTGTATGTACTGTACAGATGTACATTATGTATGTACTGAAGTATTTATTGATTTTGCACATAATTAAACAATGAACTATTATATAAGATAGTTGCTTTGAGTTATTTGTAGTCTTTGAAACTGTCTGTCACAAAGCAGTTATTATTTGACCCAGGACACTTGACATCAATGGCTGGGACTAGTTTAAACAGTGAGTAAACTTTCAAGGTTACGAGTATTGCCGTAAAAGGAGGTACACATGCTTTGAAGTAGAGGGAGGAGGTTGGATGAATATGTGACATAGCAGAAGCATTGGTGCACCTAGCTTTTGCTTTGGATCATCCATAATGGTTAATATTTGGTTGGGCTTTGAATGTTTGAGTAGGTGGATTGTCAAAGGATAAAACATCCTTGAATTAGTGTTGAGACGTTGAGTCCTTCTCTTGGAGTCATTCTTTTCCTGTATGAACTTTGTTCAAAGCCTTTTTTGATTGGTACCTTAGCCCATTTTTGTCAGATGGTGTATGGCAATATACAGTCAACCCTCGCTTTACGCAATCCCACTTTACGCGTTTCCACGTTTACGCGGTACCCTGCCGAACACGGAATGCTCACTTTCCACGGTGTGTGTACCCTTTTACGCGGAGAGTGGCGCGAGCAGGGTGCGCACAAGGTTGCCCAGTCATCAAAACATTACCGAGTTCTTCACCCGCCACCCACCACAGCCGGCCCAAGTCAGTGATCGTGATAATGGTAGTGAGGATATGGACTTATATGGACTTTGAGGGGTTTGACAAAGAGGCCCTGCAAGCCTCTGTGGTGGATAGTGATACAATTGATACAAGTGATACAGGTGAGGGCCAATTATCTGCCCTCTGCCTCGGAACCAACCCCCCATCCCCGTGTGCCCAGCCATCTTTTCTACTAATGTAAGTGTTAAAAAACCTAATATTATTGATATTTCTCTTAATTATTAATTGTGTGTGCATACCATCATAAAATTAAGAAGTTATTTTTACTACAACGTAGGTATTGTGTCTGAAAAAGTGGAGTTTGGGGGTCGGCCCGGTCTCTATTTCAATTAATCCCATATATTATGTTGTTCACTTTACGCGGGCCGCCGTGGGTTCAATTGACCGCGTAAAGTGAGGGTTCACTGTAGTTTATTTGTCCACATTCTCAATTTTATAAAATTCATATATGGATTGTTTTGTTTTTTAATGTGTTTAAATTAGCTCTATGATAGGCTCAGATACCCTCCCTCTTCCTTTGAGCTCATGTATATTCACCTGGAATGGATTTTCAAAATGATGGGTTGACAGAATGTTGATGTGCCTTGGGTCATACAGTATATTGCTGGTAAGAAAGGCTGCGCTCTTCAGGACCTCTGGGAAACCTAGGCACTTGATCTTTCATTTATAGCTTATGGGTTTGATGGGAAAAACCAGGTGATCAAATTATCTAACAGCTTAACCAGTTCGCTTTATTGCTATGCGAAGGTGAGATCAACTACCCAGGCATCAACAACATTATGAGAGTTGCCTGGTACTGTATAGAGTTACTGGAAAATTGGTTTTTAAGATCAGTAATTTTTTGTAGATGGAAACTACTTTTAAATTGCTTTCATTCCTCTTCAACCTCTCCTTCAATCACATACAGTATATGGGATCACTTTATTTCATAGGTTTCTTTAAGTCTTTGTCTTTTTTTCTTTCTGTAGTATATGTTGCCAATTAATGATAATGAATTTTCCATAACTGTTGGTTACTGTACCGTTGATTATCATGCTTCTTATTTCTGATAGAATTTATGCAATAATAATTTTCCACAGCTTGTTTTGAGGGCTTATGTGCTGCTTCTGTGGTCACGCTTTATCCCAACCTGCGCCGAAGTTTTGGCCTTCAACGTTTCTCCAGCCTTGGTGTTGGAGGCAACCTAGGGGGCTCAGGTGGCATAGGTAATAGGAGTCGCAATGGATCAGTGAACACTAACTCACTGCCTGCAGGCCTTGACCCCTCTATAGTGAAACAGACAAGTAAACACTGCCTCTCTCCTGATGATATTGTTGACAAATATCGGGAAGCTATTGTACATTATAGTAAGGTAAGACTTAGAATATAGAAAATGTAATCATATCACATCTTACAGAAATCCATTTTTTTGGTAAATTAGTTTTATTCTTGAGTAACATAATGAACTTATTCAATGAAATGTAAGACAAGCAGACTACCAGATTGAGAATAAAGGTCACATCATCAATGATCACTGTTGTCTCTTAGATACTTTACATATGAAGTCTCAGAGCACTACCATTAAGTCAATGTTGAGCATTACTGCTACCTCATAACTTTTTCCATGCAGTGCCAGTTATGACTATTGTTATCATATCACTGATGTATTTTCTCCTTGATTTCTCCATTTTGGCATCTCATTATCCAAGTTTGAAAATCTTCATTGTTCTACTATATTGTTGTAACATTCAGGTGGTTAGCTAAATACCTCTCCTCTTATCAACTGGCTGGGCTTTTTTAGCTTTGGCCAGGCAAAAGTCAGTGCATAGTTCAGTATAGTATAGCCAAATTAACCATATGTTTTGCACAATTTCTTACATTTATTATGTATGAAAGGAACTTTTTACCCCAAACACCCTTAAAATCACCCTATACTGTACAGAATATTAAATTTAATGGTTGTTGACCTTTCTTCTAAGAGCCTGCCAACGTTTGAACAGAATGGTTGTTCTCAGCTTCCTTTGATGAGGAGAAAAATTCTCATGTACCTGACAACTGGTTTTCTGGTCCACAGTATCGTAATGCAGGGGTGGTGGAGACAGAGGCGAGTATCAAAGCTGTACACGTACTGATTGAGCAAAGACGCTACCTCATGGCTGCAGAATTCCTCTCAAATGTTGTCTTCATTAACCTTCAGCTCTCTGATGAGGAAAAGGTAAGAATTTTAAAAGCACTTAAATAGCTGTAATACAAGTCAAATGATCAAAATATCTTACTGTACTGAATTGTTCATATTGTAGGTACAGTACCATGATATAAGATTAATGGTTAGGTTTAATATCAATAAACCATGTTTTAATTTCAGAATTGATTATTTTATTACTTTGTGTATGTGAAGAACTGGTTTACCTTTCATGTTGTCATACATCTTCCACTTTATAGTATACTGTATTGAGAAATTAAGTCAATGATGATTGTTAAGTTCTCTTTTATTGTAACAATTTGTTTAGCTTTTAACATATTTCTCTTTACCAATAATGATGACTTTTGTTAGAAAATAATTTCACAGTGTTGAAGCCACGTTTTATTTACAACTCCTTGTTTATCCTCAGTGTACTACCTTGCAGATTGCACGCTTCAATGCTCTGGCAGATCTTTATCACCAAATTGGATTCCACCGGAAAGCCTCTTTCTTTCGGCGTGTAGCTGCAATGAGATGTGTAGCACCTCAGAATCAACAACCTGACTGGGGTCAGTGTTACCGCCTGTTGCTGCAGACCCTGGAGGGATATAAAGTTTGCCTTGATCCTTTAGAATTTCGAAAGGGTAAGTTTTGATCATGTATGCCTAGTGTATGGAATCTACTTTACAAAATTGGTAGTCAACCAAAGTACAAACATCTGTATTATACAGTACAGTCGGCCCTTAACATACGCGGGGGTTACGTAACAGAGATACCTGTGGATGTTAAAAATCCTTGTATTTTTGCTGTCCCCCCCCCCCCCAAAAAAAACCTGGCCCCCTGAGTGAGGGAGAGCTATGCGTGTGTGTGTGTGAGGTTGCGGGAGCGGGCGGTGTCCTGTGTTCGGCGCCGCGCGCTGGTTGAATGTACTTCAATTACTTCAATGTACAGAATATTCCTCCGGCGGGGCAATCCGCGTTTTTGGAAATCCGTGTATGCTAAACCCGCGTATGTTAAGGGCCGACTGTATAGTCCTCAGAGCTTAGTTGTGCAAAAAAGAGTTTTCTGTGGAAAATAACTGCCTTTGGTTAAAAAATTAAAATAAAATCATTGCTATTGCAGAATTAATATAGTTTACAAATACAATATATTTATTTCAGATGGTAGTCAGGGTTGGCCTTCACTACAAATTCAGATCCTGCAGGAGTTAGTGGGTACTTCACGAAGGATGGGTCAACATGCCCTCTGTACTCGCCACCAAGCATTCTTAGGTACAGTAAACCCTATGTTTTTATGTGTGGTTGTGTCCCTAAAGGGGTTGTGTCATTATCAAAATGTACAGATCAAATGTACTAAGTACAGGGGGTCCCTGACTTATGAACATCCGACTTACAAACGCCCACCGATACAAACGAGGTCCCATAAAGTCAATTATTTTAAGAATTTGACATAGATACAACTGGTTCATGGTATTAACATACGAGAACTAGTTTGCGTGGCGTTGTGGCGAGGCAGAGCAGCTGGTGGGGAGTAATGCGTCACCCAGCAACACACCTTGAGAGAGTGTCAGTACGCCTTGCCCTCACCTCAGTAACGTGTGTGATCAGGTGCAAATTTTTTTTTTGCTTATTAACTCTCTCTTTCTGCCCTCTTCATGGCTCCCAAATGCAAACCTGATGCAAGTGATAGTAGTGCATTCAAGAAAAGGAATACAATTACAATTGAAGTGAAAGTTGATGTAATTAAACATTCTGAAAAAGGTAAAACATCCCCAGTCATTGGTAAAGCGTTGGGCTTCAGTCGGTCAAAGATTGGAACTCTTTTGAAATACAAACAAAAAATTCTTGAACATGTAAATGGATCTATACCAATGCACTCAACTGTGATAACAAAACAAGGAATTGGATGTAAATGTTTAACTTTAATTTTACTTTTATTTACTGTACCCCCCTTGTATTTGTCATTGTTTCTTCTTTTCTTTTAAATTCAGTGATTCGAGATGTATAAAAGGACTTAGGCTCTAAAATATTTTACATAGGGTATGTGTTCTGACTTACATATACATTTCTGACTTAAAAACATCCTCAGGAACGGAACTTGTTCGTAACCCGGGGAACCTCTGTATATAATGAAAAAGTTAGAGTTCTGGTCCAAGTACCACTGAGACCATCCATTAGCAGAATTCTAACCCTCTGTTTGTGGTATTATACCCCCTATATAACACCATTTGTACAATTTACAGTAATGCAAAATGAAATTTAGAAGATCTTTACTACTTCATATATTAATCATTTATTTGTGTCGGTCTTTGAAAGGACTAGTACTGTAAATTTAAACGAGGGCTTTACTCTAAGGCCTAAGCTGTGCCCAGTTTTCTGAGATCAGTAAAATTTTGCTTTGGGGGAGTAAGAATAAGAAATACAACTCCAATTAAATGACCTTTTTTTATATATAAAGATAATCGATGTGTGGTCACAGTGCTCAAATGATATGTTTTCAGAAACTTAGCAAAACTTCTAGAGACAAGTTCTCATTAAGTTTTGTTTTCTCTTTACTAATAATTCATGAGTGGTGTTTTTATGATTTATAAGAGTGATCTAGAGAGGTGGTTATATTTCAGATTGTTTGTCTAAAATTGTGATGCTTTATATAGAATCTACAGAATGAAAACTTACATGAATCAAGGGTATCCTGTTCATAGTAAAAACTTTATAAAGAAAAAAAAATCTTTATATCTCAGTTTTCATGTCCATGTTGACATTACCCTAATACGAATACTGTACATTGCAAGCCCAAACAGGTTCTTCAAAAAATTTTGCTTTTAGATACTTTGCCACAGTGTTTCATAAGTTTGGCATTCTGTAGTAACATTCAGAATGTATCAGTGACTCAAAATAAGTGTTCTAGAGCACCTTGTATTAACTATACAAGAGACTGTGTTACAGTGATCCCCTGATGTTAGGTGTCATAAAGGAGACTTTTTTCAACAATATTTATACACAGAACATATAACATGTATACCCAATCTAATAGATTATAATTTTTTTTACAAATTAGATGAAATAGAGTGTACTACTGTACTCTACTGTATAAAAACTAATTTTAACTCTTGTTCCTGTGTAATCACTAGCCCTAAACAGTTTAAGAACTTCTAATTGTATATTTAGTACCTTTTGTCAATGACATTTGAATTAGCTTGCAACTACATCATAGGTAAAAATCTTTATCTGTAGTTTGTGCGATGCTGCCACACCTGAGTGAGACAGAACGTCAAGAAACTGCCACTATGTTGGAGTCTCTCAGTGCAAGAAGTGGGAGTGGGCCAGCTCCTCTAGTTGTACAGGAAACTGGGATTATCATACCACCTGTCAACTTCCTCAACATACCTGTCTGCAGGTGTGATTCTTTTGCATTATTCTTTTTACCTACTTTTAACATTTGAAATTTGCTGTAACCAGATTATGTGATAATTTGTTGAGTACAGGGTATGTACTGTATGTGTGTGTGTGTGTGCATAAATATGGAAATGTGACTCATAATAATTTTATTGTATCTTTGAGGAAGGAGTTAATTTTATAGTGTCCAATTTCTTAGACTCACTCATTTAACTACATTATTGTTGTAATTTTCCATTATACTGTTTTGGACAAAATAAGTCTGGCTACTGGACCTTGCTTCCTATTTATACGTTCAATTTTGTGATATGACCTTCATTTGCTTATTACAGTACTGTTTATCTATTTTGCAAAAATTAACTTATGTATACAGTGGTCCCTCGGTTAACGAGCACAATCCGTTCCAGCAGGTTGCTCGTTAACCGAAAAACTCGTTAACCGAAACCATTGTTTCAATGGGTTTTTGGGTAATTGGTTCCAGCTCACCGAAAATTGCATAAATTCAACAAAAAAGGTAGAAAAGTACACTTACTTTGAGGTGTGTATGTAGAAGGCTCCTGGATGATGATGATGATGATGATGGGAATTAGAATGGGGGTGGAGGAGAAGGAAGAAGAGAAGGCTTTGGGGTGGAAGAGAAGTCACCCCATGGCACCATTTCACCCATAAAATTTTAGTTCTCTTGGTGTAATTCAAGATTATTTTTTTTAAATCAACACTGCACTGCATTATGTATTGTCAATATGTAAAATAAATTTCAAAATGACCAATAATTTGCTTGGAAACACAGAAAAAAAGCATTTAGTTGAAGAGAGTCTCAAGCAAAATGTTACCTCCACTGAAAACAGAGAGAGACTAACGCCTGTCTGGTGTGTTAACAGGCTGGATGGCACGCCAGAAACTAGTTTCTTTACCTTCAATTATGTTCAATAATTGTTAAAATTACTGAAAAAGTTAATATTAAACTTTTAAAATTATTGAATAGTATAAACTTCTTGATATTTACTAAAATAGTAAGGAATTTAAGCCCTAAAACCAATTACTGTATTGGCGGACTAATACTACAGCTGGTGGACTGCCAAATGCAAGCGAAATCATGTTGAAGTCGGCTCGTAAAAAACTCGTTAATCGAGGTATTGCTCGTTAACCGAAGTTAAGAATCTTATGGAAGGTAAATCGTTAACCGAAATCTCATTAACCGAGGGATCACTGTATCATCAAACCCAATCATAAAAGAAACAGTTACGAATACATTTGTCTATTTTTCTTCTAAAGGTCGTCAAATCTAAGTCCAAGTTTTCACCTTAACTTCTTAATTTTAATTCATGAACTGTCCTAAAGATGCATAAACCTTCTTATTTGTATTCTTATTTTGTTCCCAATTGTATAGTATTATATTTGTTCACATTTTTGCCCTGCAGAAAAGTGCGTCTAATAGCCCCAGCAACTGGTAGAAAAGCAGAGAAAAAGCTCTCATTGACTGGAGAGGAAGATACAGGGCCATTCATCTTTTCTCCCTTTACTTCTCTCACCAGCATTAATGAACGTCGTACAAATGGCAAAATGGGTAATTACTGTAGTGTTTTTATAATATACTGTACAAAGTATAATGTATTATTGTGGAGTTGATTGGCAAACTTGAGAACTACTACCTGTACTGTATTTATATTTACACAACAACTCAGGATATCACTTCTGAGTTTGCTTTCCACTTTTTTTATTTCTGTTGTACAGACACTCCTCAGTTTACAGAAAGGTTCTGTTCTGTACCTTATTCGTAAGCCTAATTTTCTGTCAACCCAAAATGACCCTTTTCCATGAGGTAAACATGTACTGTACCCTACTGAATCACAGATGGCGCCTCGCAAGCTGATGTGCTCAGCTGCCTTATGCATAATCCTCCACAAATAGTGTTGTTATGCCTTACTAGTTACCTTCCGTAATAACAGAAACTATTGAACAACCCAAATTTTTTTTTTAATGGGACTTATGGGAGGCATTCTTTATCCTCAAAATTTCTGTAACCCAGGGAGTGTCTGTATTGTATACTATATTAGCCACACAAGGGTTCATCTAGCGAAGAAGCTTTGGAGATGTCCCTTTAATTGGAGTCTTCCTTTTCTCCTGAGCTGGAATCACTGACTCTGCATTTACTCCTTATATTATAGCAAATTTATAAAGTCATGAAAGCCTAAGATCTGTTTATGTTCCCCCAAAAGTGAAAAACTCAGCCCTCAGCTAGTTTGTCTGTTTAACCCTTTCACCACTTCGGCCAATTTCGGCGGTATTCCTCAATAAGTGCCAAGAGTCACTAGAAAATGAAAATGCTTTAATTAACGTTTTAACTACTTTTTTTTTATGAAAAAAGCACGAGGATCCATATTTAACAATTAAAAAGTCATAAAGTAATAATATCTAGGGTAAAATTAAAAATTTTGTTGGGAAAACACTTTTTTTTCCTGTGTTCATAATAATGGGCAATATCATAAGTAGATATGTCATATAGTGTAAGCTGCAACGATAAATATTTTATCTTCCATTGAAGTCACATAATTTTATATTGCTGACCATTATTCATATATAAATTGAAACCCTATATCATATGGGCAAATGCGAAAATCACTTGTGCACAGACGAGAGTGTTAGTGGGTAAATGAAATAAAGGATTGGAATAGACTAGTTATTCTATTGCACCTGTTATTTATTGGACTGAAACACAATATAAATTAAGATTACAAAGATGAAGTTGATTGTAAGACAAGGAAGTAAACCACCTTTGGGAATATACTATACACTGTATAGGTAAAGAATAAATTCATATATAGGTATATCCATAAAAAAATTGATTTTCCTTTCACATTTAACATGCCTTACTCACTCACGTATTCCAGACATTTCTGAAAGGCAAAGAAAAACATGAAATGAAGTACCGGAAAACCTCTCAATATGCCATGTTTGGCTCTGATTATGTGTTGCTCTATTTCCTCTTATATTATGTTTCCTTTCTCCTCTAATCATTATGCACTACTGCTTTCTAATACATATTTCATATAGCACACCCTTAAACTTTTAAAACATCACTACTGTTTATACCATTGTTCTCCTAAAAAAAAAACATGAATAAACTGTCATAATTTTCCATCATGGCATATGCAAGAAATAATTTCACTTCCCAAATTACCTCATTCATTTCCCTTCTAATTTAATGATTATCACACTCCAAATGCTAGTATTGAATCTATAGAATAAATACTAACATTATATATATAATATAAACAGTTATTAGTCAGCAATGTTGACTCCTAGTGTTTTGAAGGCGGGAGCTTCAGCTTGCCCCAATTGCCACTAGGTGGCAGCAACTACTGGGCCGGCTCATAATTCAAACCCTGAAGGACTGTAGTCGAGTTACGCGTTCAAAATTTTTTTTTTTTACGAATGTGGACTAACGTCGATTTATGGTTTGAAGGACAAAAATAAAAATGTGAATAAAGTCGAGCCACGCTGTGAATTGGTTAAGGAAGTGAATTATTCTATACAATACCTTAAGGACAGTTGTGCTAATATTTCATAGTTTTCATTTTAAAATATATTTTCTGGGAAAGAAGTAATATACAGGGTAGTTTGATATTTCAGAGTTTGACTGGGTTGAAGGAGATGTGTGTGAGATCTGTTTGGACCTAGAGAACCCAATGCCTTTTGAACTTAAGGTTACTAACATGGTAAGTTGTAATTACTAGGTATATATTTTTAAGTTGTAATTACTGGGTATATAATTTTTAGTTGTAATTACTGGGTTTTTAAATTTGTGCTTTTGTAAAAAATTTTGTATGCTCCAGTTGCTATAATTATTTAATAATTGGTACAGGTTGAGAATCCCCTAACCGAAATCCTAAAAACCGAAAACCTCCGAAATCCATACTTTTTTTGGAGTGCCTGTAGTGGAAAATTAAAATAATTCCACAAGGCTTTTTTATAGTTCCCGCACGATGTGCGAGTCACGACGCGCCGCGGAGTGTTACAAGCGCTAAACACCAGTTGTTGTTCTGCACTTATCACAGCTAGACATCCGCACATTACTCACAGTGATTTTTGTGCTTTTGCTATGGTTTGTTGTGTGAATATACAGTTGAAAATGTCAAAAAGGCCTGCAGGAATGTCTATGGGTAACAGTGAAAAGAAAAAAAAGAAGCATTTATGCTTATCCATAGCAAAAAAAGTTGAGTTATTGCAAAGACTTGACCGTGGTGTGTGAGGCGACTCATGGAGGAGTTTGGAGTGACCACCATTGATGACCTGAAGAACAAAAGGACAAATTGTTAAAATTCTATGCTGAAAGTGTTGAGCAGAAGCTTATGAAAAATCGAAAAATGTTGCATAAGGCAAAAAATTTATATCTTGATCATGTTTTGAAAGAGTAGATTCATCAGCATCAGAGTGAGCATTTGCTGGTGCTTAACGGTATGCTGATCATGAAACAAGCAAAGCTTTATCATGACGAACTTAAAATTGAAGGTAATTTTGAATATTCAAGCAGGCTGGTTGCAGAAATTTAGGAAGAGGCAGGGCATTAAATATTTAAAGATTTGTGGTGGTAAAGCTTCTGCTCATCATGAGGCAGCAGAGAACTACATCGACTAGTTTGCCAAGATCATCGCTGATGGATACCTAAAACCAGAACAACTCTACAATGCCGATGAGACAGCATTGTTCTGGGGTTATTGTCCCAGGAAAACAATAACTGCAGATGATGAGAAGGCTCTTACAGGAGTTAAGGATGTCAAGGACAGACTGGCTGTGCTGGGATGTGCTCATGTATCAGGCATGCGCAAGTGTAAACGTGCTGTGATAGGCAAGAGCAAGCATCCCCACTGTTTTAAAGACTTGACTAATTTACCAGTCCATTATTATGCCAGTAAGAAAGCGTGGCTTACCAGGGACCTCTTTTCTGACTGGTTTAATAAACATTTTGTACCGGCCGCTCGCGACCACTGCTGGGAAGCTGGACTGGAAGATGACTGCAAGATTTTGTTATTCCTTGACATTTGTTCTGCACATTCCCCAGCTGAACTTCTTGTCAAGAATAATGTTTATGACATCTACTTTCCTCCAAATATTACTTCATTAATTCAGCCATGCGACTCAGGGATCCTCAGAGCACTGAAGAGTAAATATAAAGACAGTTTCCTGAACAGCATGTTGGCAGCAGTGAACAGAGGCATGGGTGTGGAGGGATTCCAAAAGCAATTTACAATGAAGGATGCCATCTACGCCGCTGCTAGTGCTTGGAATGCCATAGGTAAGGACACCCTAGCGAATGCTTTGCCGTCGACTATATTCAATGACGATGACGAACAAAATGATGTTTTTCAAGGATTCCTTGTGACAAGTGAGAAACAAATGATATCAAACTTTCTTACATACGCAAAAAGTATACCCTTGGATGCTGTCAAGAAGCTGGAGGAAGCGGACATAGAAGAAGTTCTCAACATTGATAATGATGCTCCAGTTGTTCATTAAATGACTGATAGTGAAATGGTTCTGAATCAAGGTGATGATGCTAACAGTGAAGATGAAGATGACATAGTTAACAGTGGTAAAAGTCCCCATAGACAACATAGTGAAAATGTGTGATGGACTTATTGATGGACTAGAGCAGCATGCATTCATAACTGAACAAGAAATCATATCAGTTTATAAGATCAAAGAGAGATTTCTATGACAAAAATCATTGTTAATGAGGCAGATGATGCTAGAAGAAACATGTAAGACAGTCATCCTGTAGAGTGCATCCTCATCCCTAGAGCACTAATGAATGGAGGTAAGACATAGACTGCACTATGGTAAATTTCAGGGGCAGTTACAGGTAGGCCTACGGTAGTGGTAGCTTACCTTTCTGATGGTTCAATGTGCATCTTTTTCGTATTGTTAAATGCACACAATTATTAAAAATATTGCATTAAACTACCTGCAGACAATATATATCCATATTCGGTAAATGAGATATACATGATTTTCGTGCTTAGACTTGGGCACAGTCCCCTGTGGGTGAGGTACCTGTACCCCATTATACACCTATACAGTGTGCAGGTATCCCCAAATCTGAAAAAATCCGGAATCCGAGACACATTCGGCCCCAAGGATTTCGGATAAGGGATACTCAACCTGTAACTGCTTAAGGCTCGGCAAAAGGTTGTTAGTGAGAACCAGAGTACCGTTGCTTTTTCTTTGTCATTGCGTCATCTATGAATATTGAGTTTAAGTAATTTATAAGAAGTTTTGGTAAATGATTCAGTGATTGGGTGTGATTATAAGTACCTGGTAAGGTTAATACATTCTTAGATACACATAACTACATCATTGGATACAAAGAGTTAAGCACAGTACTTTGTAAATTTAGCAAAGAGTATCAACTAGTTTTTAAGACTGAACTGATTGACTGTTTCTAATGATCTTATATATTTGCTTTTTAGATGCTTATAACTGAAGGGGCTCAGTTTGAGTCTTGGGCATCTACGACTGTACTAAAACCTGAAAAGGGTCTTCAGTCAGTCACCATACGAGGGCGACCACAAAGTGCTGGGGAGTTGCGAGTTATAGGTTACTCCTCCACTGTTATGGGAGTCAGCAGCAACTGTCGACTAAAATTCATGTCGCAGTTGAAGATGCCGCAATACTCTGTAAATGTTGTGCCTGCATTACCATTAATACAGGTCAGTTGGGGTTATTTTATTCCCATTGGATTTTTGATGATTGTAATAATTAGTTACACATAATTTATGGGTATTCATGTTGAAGAGCTTTGTTTGCAAGCACAACTTAAGTGATGGCTGCATTTAGAAGCTTCTCAACACGATTAAACCATTGATCAATATATTTTTTTGGCTTCCTGGTAAAGTAACTGCAATATCATAGTGTTATGTTGTTCATTAACTTTCAAGTTTTATTAACCATAAGCTAGATTGACTGTCAACATGAGCTGTTCTTTAGCAAGATTTACTAAAGGAAATTCTAAGTTTCAGTATGGTAGAATCTTGGAACTCCAAAAGTCATTTATCCAGGACTGAGCAAAATAATACTGAACAAAAAAAGATTCAGCATTGTGGATGACAAATAACACTCATTGAATGTACTACTGCACTTGTGGTAAAAATTCACCAGTTAGGTTTATCTGTGGCTGTGTTTACTTTGTGATTTTATAATTTGTTATTTAGGAAATGTCCAATATCTCTACCTAAAAAGAAAGCAGAATTTTTTACTATTCAAGCAAGGAATACAACAGTTCATATTTTAATTTACACAGATACTGACTGGCAACTGTAGCACAGGAAGTTTAGGTGTTGAGAGACCAGTTGGTGAAGAGTGTGGAAACTTGCACTTGTCCTTGTCTGCTGGAGAGACCCATGAGTGCTCTGTGGTGCTACACAATTTGTCATCCCAGCCAGTGGAGGAACTCACCATCACCCTTGAATCAAAAATGGACAAAGAGTTGTTAAATCAGGTGAGATAATTTCCAACAATGTTTTTTTTTTTTTTTTGTAACTTTTCTTTGTGTTCATTTAGCCAAGGTATGAGTGAAGCAACTGTTGTGGCATTTCTTTTAATAAAAAAGGATCTGTGAAAATATTCTGAAGAAAGTAGTGGCAGGGAAGTTGTAAAAGTAGAGAGAAGGTATAAATAATGTGAAACACAAAAAATAATGAAATATTTTATTTTGAAATATGGCATTGTGTGTGATAATTGTGATTTATCAACATATCAGTGTAGTCTCAGGAAATAATCATCAGTGACAAAGATTATCTTTATTTACTTTGGTGGAGAAACAATGTAAGTTACCAGTATTTTGAATTAAGCAATTTATATTCATATACTGAATCTGTTTCAGGTGTTTCAATACAGTGAGGAAAACATCCACGCCCAGCTTCCTATCCCACCAGGTGGTAAGGCTTCTCTAACCCTCTATGTTTATGCTGTTTCTGACTTCCTGTGTCCTGGTCGCTTAGATGAGTCCTTGGAAACAACTAGTATGATTTCTGGCAGTGAACCACCGTCCTTAATATCGGGTGGACCTTCCTCCCTACCCTCCAGACAATCTGCAGCTACCTCAAGCACCCGTGGGGCACGCACGCGTAGAACAGATTCATCCGCTTCACTGTTATCATCCCGTTCAGGATCAAGCGTAAGATCTGGATCATCTTCCTCCACTCAGGCACCTTCGTCAACTATTAGAACCCGAGCTACACTCAACACACCAGGTAGGTCACAAGATGACTGTTGGGAGTCTTCTAAACTTACCTCATCTTATCTGCCATACAGGTGGTGACATATCTTGATATCTGCCAATGGATGTGTCCAAATGTGTACAACTCAGAGGAAGGACAAGATGGATTAAGTATTGTCCATATCTTTGTAGGTGTTTGCTATTTTTCTCTCCCCATATATCACCACTAGCTTTACCCTTTTAGTTTCTGTTGTCTCGTAGTACGTCACTTTACCGGACTAACAATTGCCAAAGATGGTCTGGAACAGTGTAAATTTGTGTATAAATAAACTTTGTTCCTCCATAATGGTACGGGGCCCCCTCCAGTACAATATTGCCTTATATAATTGAACTCTTATGGGGCAGTCACTTGTCAGAAGGTGTGAAAAGTTTGCCTTATTTTTCAGCTAGAAAACAACCTGAGGTAGTATTACAGTGGTCTTTCCTTCTTCATAAACATTGATATTAAACTCATTTGTTTACACTTTGAAGAAGAAAAAAGTGTTTTCAGTAAAAACAAAGCTGTTTCAGCCAAAATTCTGATTTTTTTCAAAATCTTAATATAATGGTGCAGTATTCCAAATGATCTTGGCTTAAGAAGTTGTAATTTTCTTAATTACTGTACTTTCAAAATGTTTATTTAATTTTTAACCCCACTTACTTGCCACATCTGTCCATGCTGATTTTTTGTATTTTCTGTTTTCTGGATGAACTAAAGTTATTGATACTGTATATGGAATATACAATGAAATAGGTGGGTCACATTTAACTTGCTAAAATTTATTAGTAAGTAACTTACTCTTTTAAAAGGTGAAGTATTCTTTATGTAATTTAACAACTCCCTCTCATAGAGTTCCTTATAGGTCCAAAAACTCAACTCATTAAACCAATAGTTGTCATCAGGCTCCACCGAACAGAAAAGGGAAATATTGAAACATAAATTACTCCTTTTCTGATAATTATTTTTTTTAAGATTATCAGCTGGTTATATAAAACCCTATTTTTTAATGAATACAGTACAGATATCTAAAACTCACAATACTTTTACAACACTGGAAATTTATATAGAACATTTTCATTATTTAAACGTTGTTTAAGTATGATTTTTATAAGATAGTATGATGTTTAGCAACCTCCATCACCCTCCCAAGGCCCTATTGATCATTTGTTTATTACGGGTGTTATTTATGCTTACTCTAAACGAAGGTGTCAGGCTTTTATATCCAGATATACATCCATTTCATGAACATTAATTGATACTGAACATGTTGGACTAGTGGCACTACAGTATAACATGTGCTCAGGGCCTTGTAATTGTACACATTAGCTGTGAAGTAAGATTTAGGTACTGTACACCAGAAAGTCAACCACCTTTACACAAACCTTCATTGACCAAGTGGTCAGATATGTTACAGAACTCCCCAGTGTGATATATTTGGAGATTTATGAATTTTTATTTGAGTATTGCACTGCTATTCAGCAGAATTTCCTCACAAATATCATGGATAGTATTTGTTATTAGAGTACTACAGTACTTAAGAAAAATCAAGTAACTTAACAGTGCAATGCAGGAAAAATGAGATACAGTTTTATGGAAATATTGCAAAAGTTGACTCAACAAAATGCTTCTACATATTTTCACTTTCTGTGTATGATTACTCTGACATAATTGTACATAATTGATGTTCACTGCTAAACTGAATATTTTATAATCCTGAGACACTGTAAATTGCCATGATTAATTGCACATTGTTAACTCTAATGTTGTTATTCTGGTGTTTATTAAATTGGAATAGAATTACTAGAGAATCCCCAGTCTGGTTTTACAACGTTCTAGATGTACAGATGTCCGGTAATTCGATGTACTACTCTAATAGTTGTTTATGTGGTTAACTGCATTTTCATCTTCCACTCATGTTTACATTTTGATCTCCCACTAATCATATCTATGCTCTGAAGACTAATCTATTGATATGAACTCACTGAACCTACATAATATCTTATATTTAAATCTAGTTCATATAGTATCTATCACTTTAAATTCCAATAAGTTCAGTGACCTCTTCACCCGTGGAACTTTTACTCCATCTTTTTACTTATGCATATTCTTTATCATGGGTAATGTCAGTGGCTACAATGAATGCTGGCTCTCCACATACACATGTCAACCTTGAAATGTGGTATTTGAGTTCATACTCATCAGAAGCCTTATTCAGATTGTTACATTTTCAGCTCATTCTTAGTAATCCAAATGAGCAGCCATCACCTTTTTCTAATTTCAAGTCCCATTACCTATTACCTATTCTAAACTCCCTCTATTTGTCAAATCATAACATCATATCTGTCTCTTGCTCTCTAGCACACACTCCACCAACTAACTCCCCTAAACGCCGTCTCTGGCACTTTCACTCCGCTCAATGGGAACACCTCTATGAATTCTTTTTTTCCTGTCCTCGGAAGCAGTGTGTCTTCAGTTCACCGGAGCCTTCTGCCTGTGCCACTCACCTCGCAGAGGTGATTATGGCAGGTATGAAGCCATAAATTCCCTTTCTCGTATTTCAACTCACAATTTTCACAACTTTGTAAGCCATTGTTTGATGATGCATGTTTGGCTTCAGTTCAAAGAAGAAATATGGCTTATAGGCGGTGGCAAGATTTGTCATCAGATATAACTCAAATTAGTTTTCTGAGTGCCTGCAATCCGTCTGATTCCTGTCTTTGACACTCCATACACAAGAATTTTGAAAAGGAGCAGTGAAAAATCTTCCAATTACTGTTCCTATTCCTGTTTTGGTAATTGGAAAAGGATATCTTGGAATTATATTGTCTTCCCTCTGACATATTTTGTCTTACTATCTGTCATCAGGCTTGCAAAATACAATTATTATTGAACTTCCTCCGAAGGCTCTCAGTTAACCAATTTTACCTTAATTCTTCATGTTAAATAGACATTCAATTCAAATTCTACTTTATATATTCTGATTGCATTTAATCATAATGGTATAATTCCAAAGATGTCCCTGGGTTCCTTTGTCAAAATTGACTTGGCTTAATTGCCTCATTCATAAAACTCATTTACCTTTGGAAGCATATTACACTCACAGTTCAATCAGTTCAAAGGAAATATGACACAGTAGATCCCTCTATATACCTGTATAAAGTTTTTGATAGTCATTAACTACAAACATACCTTCACTCTTGAAGCTCAACACCTCTCAGACCATTATTATGGTTTTTAAAATTCTCAGACAGTTTTTAAGTCTGGCCACCCTTTCTTTTGTTGTTACGGTTCACATTTCTGAAACCTTTAACAGGGTATAGTTTAATGCTTTACTATCAAGTCTACCCACCTCAGGTAACCCTTCTCTAACTTGACCATTCCTTTATTTTGTTATTATTGTTTCATTGCCCCATCACTTTCTACAAAGTTCTGTTGTCTGTAACACTAATACTCATTAATGACCTTTCCTACATATCTCCTATCCACTGATACAAGATAACCCAAAAGTAATTCAGCATAATTTCCCTTTTGAATGTTCTTAATAATTCATAAGCATTCACCATATCGTCCTTGAATAACAGTCTTGACAAGATAAGTCAATGAATACAAATTTAATAAAATAAAGCTCCTCTGAAGTCACTTTCCTACCCTTTAATGTTATTTCCCTTCTTTGCTAGCCATTAGTGCCACATTGCAGAGTACTCAGAACTCAAGTTCAACATGGATTGTCCCTCATTTGCTGTGATTTGTTTGTATTTGTGTACTGACCAGACTCGTTCTTCTTCCTGAGTAAGGTTCCAAGGTAATCTATCTTGCTTATTCCTTTCATTTCATACATTACATCACACACATACTGTACTTCCTTTTCACTCAAGCTCACTAGTGCTTCTTGGATGTCCATCCCCTTCCATTTAGTAGCTCCTCATCCCATTTTTCCTTTACCCTCTTGGTCTTTCCATGTGTCTTATTTGTTTCTTTTCTGAATCTAAATTATCCACTCATTTTAACTATCTATTAGTTCATTTTCACTCTATATATCCATACCACTGTAGCAGCTAGCTTTTCTCATAATACTCCTTCACTTCCATATCTCTCTGTCTTGATTTCTTATTTGTCATATCCTATTCACACCACATAAGAAACACCATTTCCATGTCTTTTGACTTGTTTTTTTTATCCTTAGTTCATAGCTCATACTCCACACCCTTAACATCCCCATCTTTGCCTCCCCTAAAACAGTCATTTTTTTTTTTGTATTCAATACTATTAATTTGTCAAATTTTAGCAATGATTCTGATATACACTAGCAGTTACAAAAGATTGTGATGGACTTCCTACATTAATTCCTTTGCTAAGTCACCCTGCAAAAAAATAGGTGCTGTCTTTGTTTCTGTCGTATTGTTTATGTCACTACAAGTGTTTCTGTAACAGTAGCCATCCATTTTTTTGCATTTAAATATTTTCCATTACATGGATATTTCACCACTAAAAATATTATGACCCAATTTCCCATGAATATACGGTACTGTACAATATAAGTTCTGTCATCCCAAAAAATTGAATAGTTGAAATACATAATTGAAGATAGCTGAAATTGTATGCATTAGAAAAAGTTCCATCATGCTGCATCTCTTTGGTACAAGAACAGATATAAAAAAAGCAGTACTGTACTGTACTTTTATGCATATTCAAGTATATTATGTCAAGATGAAAATTTTAAAATTTCTGGTGGGTTACATGAAGCTGAAAAGAATGTTTGATGGCTGAACTTGGAGGAAAATGTTTAAAATACAGGTAATTGTAAAGTTGGATAAAGTCACACCAGTCAAGGTTCTGTTCAAACAGAATGATATATGGTACAGTATCTGCAAATAGAAGGGAAAGATTGAGCTGTTTATTTCAACTTCATACTACTGCTAGTAAAGGTAAAAATATGAATAAAATCAATCCATTTTATCACAGTTGGCAGTTTTAAGGAGAACAATGACTTCCTGGGATACAATGTATTTGTAGAATAATGCAGGAAAAGTTTGTAAAGAATGAAGGAAAAATTGAGACACTATTGTGGTATACAGGTATACTAATGTAACTGTCAAAGCTTTTCAGTACAGAAGAATAATGTTTTTACAGTCTTACCTCTGAGAAAGTGATAACAATTTTCCTTCATTTTATTGTTCAGTGGTTATTTTACATTACTGTAAGTGTGTTAACTGTGTGTTGTACAGTATATATGGTGTTGTTCAGAATAATGCTTTCTTACATAAATTAGATTTTGTCTTTTGTACTTGTAATTGTATTTATAGTACAGAGGTGTGATGAGCTTTATTTAATGATTGAGTTGTGTAACATCACCTGTGTACCATGTTAGATTTGGGATTACAGTACTGTGCAAAATCCAAGCAGTTTGCAGTCCTCATAGTCCCAATGTACTGCAAAAGATTGGATGGTTATTGTGTACTGTATTTATCTGCTATCTGCCACATATATGGAATACAGTACTGCAGCCACAGTGGACTACATCCTCTGGTGTTTCAGTATTAAATCCGGTCCAGTGGTTTTCACCTTCTGTATATTGTACAGTACCCAGTTTCAACAGCTATGCTGCTCTCTGCTTTACTTTTTTGTGATGTTGTGTCTGTGTTAAACACACAATCCTGTAGTTACTACACTGGCTACCTAAGCTTATCAGGACTGTGTGTAAATTTGCAAATTCAGATTACAGATTTTGTCCAAAATACTTTCTATTCAGTATTTCTTCCCAACTATAATTTTCAGCACTTTAAAACCATTGGCAGCAGACATCTTGTGGAAAGACCAACACCTATGTCAAAATTTAAACTGCTTATGCTAGAAAGAAAAAGGATTCTAGGACCTCACAACTTCAGTGTGTGTCAGGCTGGGGTACATTATGGAATTAGCTTGTTAATGATGTTACAGCTTACTTGCATGGCCAGTAGAGTTAATTGCTCTCTTTCATCTTAGGGTTCATGTTTACTTAACATACAGTAAATACTCGCTAACTTGGCACATACGGGGCTCTGGCCTTACCGAGTTATCCCAAATTCCGACTTATCGAAGCACTCCCCCCCCCCCCCTCTGCCCCTGCAGGTTTTTTTCAGATGTGCCAAGATTTTCCCAGATAATTTTATATTTCTCTAGTTATGCTAATACATTCTGGGACCATATTCATGCCGAGTTATATGAAATTCCAAGTTATCAAATGCCGAGTTATCGAGGGTTAACTGAAATAAACATACCGTACATACAGTATGATCTCCCAATAAATTATGTAATTATTAATTTGTTTTTTGCTTATTGTAAAATTTTAAAATACTGTACGTACATAATTTTTTAAATTTAAGCAGTACTTTAATGATCTTTGTTACAACTTTATGATTTTCTGTAGGTGCCAGTAATTCTTTATGAAAAGTTATAAAAAGTGCTTATAACCAGTTCATGACATCATAAATCTATGCCAACATATTTCCAATATCGTAAAGAAACCTCTCTTCTTTTTTTGTGTAGTTTGACGTTTCTAAAATTCTGATAATGCTGCTTCTAGATTTTTGCTCTTATATTTTATAAAACGTTTTTTTGGCAGGCTGCACTGGAAGAACACTAGATGCCACCTTGATGGTGAAATATTCAGGTGGATCAGGAATGAGTGCTGATTTTTGCCGCAGTACCCAATTGACGATCAATATTGAGGTGACGCCCTCACTGCTGGTGACCAGATGGGATGTTCTTCCTGCCGAGTTGCCTCACCAGTGTTATGTTGTGCTGGACCTCCTCAATTGTGCCTCTCATGAGATGGACCTCCATTACACACCCACCAAGCATATTCTCATAGAAGCTGGAGATTCTTGTAGAGTTCCTGTTCCTGTTGACCGCTGTCCTCTTGCTACTCTCACACAGGTAAATTAGTGTTAACAGCTACTGCTCAATAATTTTTTTCTTCAAATGTCACAGATGCTCAATGGTGAAAGTGATGAGTTAATTATTGTAGAGAAAATTATATTTTATATTCTCAGAAATATACCTGATATCCATTTAAGATTAACCATGCATTAATTTAATGGTAGGACATATTAAGTTCACTTAAATCTCCCCCTTCCCCTTGATATTATAACCCATTTGCTAATAGAGGATGTAATGTTACGTACAGTATATATAAAAACTATAATACTGTCCTTCACTTGTGTTTGATGCAGGTTTTTTTTATTTTAGGTGAAATCTGATGAGTCATGGAAATTCTTCTTCACATGCACATTACCTTTTCTGCATCTCACACATAAGTCTCCAAAACTATAAAAAAAAAATTATTCAAATAGTAACCAAGATATTTTGTATATTGATGTAAGATTTTCACAAGTGAAGGCTATCTTTAGCGTGTACCATAAGAAATTAAGAAATTGTAAAATGCAACCTTGCTAGATATTGTGAGATATTGTGAAATGTAAAAACATCAAAATTATTATTCCACAGGATACTAATATGAGTGAGAGTGGATGGGGATGGTCAACAGTTCTTGGGGGTCATGTTGCATCATTGGTAGAGCTTCGATGGACATTAGGTCCCAGTGACACTCCAGGCCGAGCATCCCTTGCTGGCATAACGTTCCCTCCATCAACTCACGACCTCATTACCATGGCTCCCATTCACTGGGGTGAGTGTTTCTTTAATATATGATGCAATATTATTAATCTTATTAACCAACTGTACTTTATTATACTGTATGGGGTTTTGTAACAGTAATATCTAAAGCAAATACAACTCCTTCCCCCACACACACACACACACACACACACACACACATATATATATATATATATATATATACAGTATATATACAGTATATAGTAGAATGTGATTTAAAGTGATTCAGTTTAAGATATTGATTTAAAGAACACCCACAATTAAGGACAATGTTTTAATTTAAAGCGAATCTTTCTTATCTTGCGCAAGTCAATCTAGTGCATCATATTTTAAAATTCACGCCTAATGTTTCTCTGGGCTCGCTACACTGTCCTAAGGGCAAAGCTGTACTGTACATGTACTCAAAATAATGTACTAAATGATAACTAAAATTTTTGTTTAGTGCAAACTATAGCATGATTATATTCAAATTTATCACTTTCTTATAAGAATTCCAGCAATGTAAATTATGTTCTCCACAATATCAGACAGCAAGTAATGTCATGCATGAAACGAATTAACAACTGTTTTACATCACTTTATTTCAAGGTCAATTTCTTTTTCTTGCTATTCCTCCACAAAGGCTTGGGTAAGTTCACTAGTTGTCTCAGAGTGTGGGTTATGTAATTAAGCTTAGCCATTCAGTACTTATTTTAGGAGTTAAAGGTATGAAAATGCTGTCTTTAAAGATGATGTCTTTCTCTCTTTCAGATGTTCAAGTGGATGGGCAAGATGTAGTTGGAGGAACAGAAAACAGTGGAGTGGTCGGTCGCACACTAGAACTAAATGTTGGAATAACCAATACAAGTGGAGCTCCCTTGCCCCCACTCAGCCTACGTCTCACCGCTTTTCAGGACCATCAGAATGGCCACCTGAACTATCGTCTAGAAGCTAAGATGACCACAACAGGAGCTACCAAATTGACTACACCTCAGGTGATAATGTAGTTCTACATAATTGTTACTTGTATATAATGCAGCATCATTAATCATATATTGAACACTGAAGAAAATATTGAAGACCAAAGAAAGTGAAGATGGTTTAGAAATAGTTTAAGAAAGGCTCAGGGGTTGTCCTTCTCAGTTATAGTTTCACGTAAAGAATAATTGACGTGATAAAGAGAAATAGAAAAGGGAATAGTTTCAAAGTGATATCATGAAATACTTTTTGAAGACACAAAAGCAGGATTATGTTCAACTCAGTTGTAATTAGATAAAGAATTTGTTGCCTGTGAAGCTTGAAGAATTTCCTCTAAGACATGTCAGTTGCATTTTACCTTAAACTTGCATTAGCCTGATGGCCTATTGGAATTAGTGCAGAATGGCATACTGAATACTAATTGTGGCCATCTGGATAAAGTTTATAAATTACTTCTGAAATTTAAAGGGGGCAATAGAATCTGTGAAGTGGAACTACAGTGTATTCAGTGATTCTTGGAGCAGGAAGCAGGTGCTGTCAGCTCAGGCTCTTGTTTTCCTCAAAATTTTCTTTAATTTTATTGATCTTGCAGTACTTTTCCTTGATACTGTATTGCATATATAGGAATGCTTTATAGATTTGTTCCATTTATTTACTTAATTTTCCCCCATTATTTGTAAGGTATCTGTACTGTACTGTATATGAAAAACTTTAAGCAAATTCTCTTCAGATTTGAAGCACCTTTATGCCTTGATCATTCAAAGCTTTCTTGATTGCTTTTTGAGTGGTGTTACTAGCAGGTAATCTTTGGTTATGTCAAGGAATAGCAACCCTGGCCTTGCCAGTTAAGACGGCGCCTGGGAGGCATACATATTATGCCCTTTTTCCCAATCTGTAAAAGTAGTTTGCCAAAAGAAAAGGCATCCAACTGTAAAACTTTCTTCAAATTTGCCTGATGGCAACTGGGACACCATGCCATAAGATAATTATAGTTAAGTCACACAAAATATCTGTAAAATTATGACATTACCCTTTTGTTAGCTATATACTGTGTGTATATATATATATATATATATATATATATATATATATATATATATATATATATATATATATATATATATATATATATATATATATATATATATATATATATATATATATATATATATAATACTAATTTTTATTTATTTTTCATTTGGTTTTCAACATGGTAATGCAGTTAGCTGAGGGGGAAGAGTTCCAGCACTGCTGTGGGCTAGTCTTCTTCACTGCAGGAGTGTACAAAGTAGAGGTGACATGCTCTCCAGCAGCTGCAGTTGCCCAGGCATCGTTTTATGAGAATGTCACTCCAGCACACCAACATGCTTGGAAGTTTGCTCCACCATTAGAGATAACAATAACTGATGTATGATTTTGGTGCTATGTTTCAGAAATACCTTAATGTTTAATAAATATTTATGAAGAAGTAAATGACATTAAATTTTAGAGTGGTACCTCATGATTAAGAAAATTTACCCAACAATATCACTGTCTTTTAAGAGTTAAATATACATTATATCCGTTATATATATAACTAATAATTACAAACACAACGAAGACATTCAAAACATCTTCAAACTTGTGTGTGTTGTACAAACACTCACTATCTTTTGAGTTGCTTGCATTTTATCTCTATTTACTGGTGTACTCATAATAACATGTGTTGCTACTGGTCATACTTACAAGAAGCTGTACTTCAGAAAGTCATGGTTTGAATGTGACAGTATTTCAGTAACACAATATCAGTATTGTGAGTGTGGTCTTCCCGTTGGAACATCACATCTGTGGTATACGTAAATGCCTAATTGTTAATGAAGTGTTTAGCTACACATTTTTTATTAGAATCTGAAAGTCACTTTTATCTTCCAAATGAGTACAAGGCTGCCAAATTAATATACTGAAAGTAATTTTTTTTCTCAATATCCCAGCCTCTTTCAAGCATCCTTGAAAGTACTGTAATGTGCTCAGATGCATGGTTGTAATACAGTGAATTTATTCAGAATGTGCCAACAAGCACACTTTTTTATTTGAAAGTAAGACATGTGATTTGATATATAAAGATGACCTAAGCTGTAATGGTAAAATTTTGTTAATGCCTCATATTTCTTAACCAAGAGTTTGGCTTCCCAAGCATCCAGATGAAGGTCAGATTTAAACAAATTTAAGGAAGATGTTTGTGTGGATTTAAACATCACACAAGTATGGATTAACTTGGGATGTATATAAGTTGGCCATATGGGTGGTTGAGGTATAATCTTGATTATATATCAAGAGTGTACAGGGATTGCTGTTGGAAAATAGTAATTTTTATACAAAGTATATGAATTGCATTATAACAACCAAAGTACCATAGAGTGATATGTATATTAAGCACATAGTATATAGTTATGTTAATGTATAATAGATTACCGATTTCATATGTACAACAGCACAACATTTGTGCATTTTGAACTTTGTGATATGTAAAATTTTGAGTGTATGATAATGTAAAGAATATTATGTAGCCTCTGATCCTTTAGTTGTTGCTTAGTTTTGCTGTGCTCTACATTGCAATAATTTCTATGCATCAAATTATATACTGTATATTCTGAAATCTTGTAAACTGTTAAAGAAGTGATTCTTCCTTATCTTCATCCATGATGGACATGTTTATCTCCTTATCAATACTCATCATCAACTGAACTAAGCATGATGCTCCAAGACACATCACAAACAGTGTCTAGTCTCACCAGTAGTAAAACCCTAAACTAGCAATGATGTTAAACAGTTTTATTACATACTGAAAAGTTACAGTTTACTAGCCACAGTTGATCGAAAGATGTTAATGGAATCTTGGATGTCTTTTAAGTGACCCTTTAATGCCAATAATCTTGCATTAACAGAAAACTTCCTTTGGAAAGCATGGCACAGTGATGATAATATCTTAGACCTACTTTGCAGTCATATTGTTGTTAAAACTGTTGCATGATTATTTATTCAGGATGTTTAGTGTCTGATGTAACATACCATAGGCATTTTAGAAATGTCTTAATTGTGTAACCTGAGAAGTTGATTCTACATATACTGTACACCAGAACAGTTGACATGCAGTTTTCTCCCATCACTTGAATTACTGCTCATCTCTCTACATAAATATGACTGTTTAGGATGAATAACTGCAGTGCAAGTGAGATCTACTAGATTTATGGAGGGTTTTTAACCTGTCAACCTGTTGCACAGTAAAGGAGTTACCCTCCAAACTCTCAATTGGATGAGCCATTAATATATATTCTTTACTTTCACTGGAATAAACTAGTCAGTATATCCATAAAGACAAACACGAACATTTTCCATGACCATTACAAGTATATAACTTTAAGGTGGAATAACCTACATCTAATTTGCCATTAACCATTACCAATTTCTCTGAAATAACATTATTTAATACTAATTTTTCTTCCATCTTATTTGCAATAAAGAAATTTGATGTGACTTTACTTATGATATCATGATGGAACTCTTTTATAATACATCAATGGGCATGCTTTAAGAAATTAGGAATAATAGTTTTCTTTTGTCATATGTTGTATACATAAAGGAATGTCTCAAGCAGAATCTTTTCTATACAGATCTGAGATTGAATCAAGTCATACAAAAATTATAAAAAGTAAGTTATTCTTAAATGAAATTTCAGTTAAGAGAATTTAAACTGATTTTGTAGGGTATTTTATGTAGACATTAAAGAGAGGGCTGCAAGTAGTGTAAGAGATATAAAAAAAGTACATACGTAAATTAAATTACTCAACACCTACAAGTCTAGAAAGTCATAAGACCAGACTGGAGTATTTTGGATAATTATATTCTTATTAGGTTAACACTGGAATAACAACAATGATGCAAATATCATGTACTGTACTGTAACATCAGTGGGTATTACATAGAAACAACACATAATGTAGAAATAGGTAGTTTGTGACAATTTAATATGTTTACTTTCTTTCTATACTATACTTTTTGTAAGGAATTTCCACAACTACTAAATATAACATTTACAAATCTCAAAATTCACTACTCTGATGGACAGTGTACCTAACTTGTGTACTCAACAAGGGAGGCAGCTGTACGAGTTGTTTGGCAGGTGATTAAGGTGGTTGATTTCTCATTGCGCCTATGAAATTAATTTTCTCTAAATTTACTTGATTTTATTATTTATTCAATTTAGTAATAAACAGAAATTTAAGCATTTATTTTAATTTGATTTCCTGCTTGTGATGTCTCACAGGAAATAATATAAATCATCAAATGACATTACAGTACTGGTCTTAGAGTGTGACATACAGTATGCCTTTATATAGCAACCACCTTTGATATTAACTTTTTTGGTGAAAATTTGATGATTGAATGTTCAGTACAGTATTTTAAATGTGTTTTGAGGATATTTTCTATCATGAAGTGCTCATGATCATAAAAAGTTGGCTTGAATGCATACTTATATGCTGAGATTACCGGACAAACACTAGGCAGATTAAGATGTGTGTAAGTTGAGCCATGAGCATTTGTAATAGCATGATTAATTTGCCTGATTCAGTACTATTTAAATTACAAGTGGATATAGACCTGGATACACAGGCCTAATGCCTTCATCCAGCATACATATAAATAACATAAGTATAAGATAAGTAATTACTGTGAACTACTGTACAGTCAGGACACACACTGCTATATTTTATAACAGACATTGTTGTAATGAACTTTAAATTATGAAAAGGTGATTAGTAAATGCTAATTTTTTAAACATTATCTACACTAAAATTTCTCCAAAATACCGTGAATGTCAACCTTTAGACCTTAGGGGAAAATGGGGTACATAGTAATGTACTGCTCATGAGATGATGATAGTGGTAATGTTAAAGTTATGATCCATTTTTATTCATGTTAGTGTCAGGGGTTTGAAAAGTTACTTTAGCTGTGTTAGGGGCACTTGCAGACACACCTGCATGAATATTTGCCTCCCTTTTCCTGATTGAGTGCACAGTTGACTCATTAACACCATATTGGCATACCACAGCTGCAATACTATCACTCCTAGCAAGGCAAACAAGCAACTCCACTTTTTGACTTGGTCACCACTTTTATTTGCCTCTTTGTACTTGATCCACTCACTCCACTCATTGTATTCTTATGAGGCATCACCAAGGAGAAAATGTCCCCCAGTACGCCCCAGTACCGTATATAGTAAGGGTAATTACCAGCAGAAGTAAGCCTGATCGAACAGCAAAACAAAGCATGGGGGTGGAGGGGGGTAGGGGGAGGGGTGCTACTGCACAGAGTACAGGCTGAGGGGAGAGTGGCACCCAAAGACTCGTGCAGAATACATGGACACATTCTGGACAAATAACTTTGAATGGACCCGGACAAGACATGTTGCTTACGTGACTTTTGACTTGTACAGTGACCCACCTCCCCCTCCTCCCTCCCTCTCCTCCTCCCCTTGCTTCCTCATGCAATGTCTGAATATACTCATCGCCTATGGTAGGTGCACAATGACTTTTGGCGCACCCTGTATAAAATGAAATTCTCAATTCAAACAATTGTTGAATTCTTGTTCAACACGGGCCTATAAAATTCACAGGCTTGAGGCTTCAGCCTCACCATTCCTGTTGGATAATCTGCCCCTGGCTGAGATACTGTAGGTTTTGCAATGGCAAGTAAAATTACCCAAGAATTTAGTTCTTTTTCACATTTTCTGACCTTTTTCCTTGCAAGTCTTGGAATTACCCCAAAACATAGTAATTACCCTGTCAGCTTTGTCAGAAATCTACTGCAATGAAATATGGAAGTCTCGACCTCTATACATCCAAAACATACACATCTATTGGGTGCGGATGTGAAATTTATGCAGATGCGGTCATGTACAGTAGGCACAAAGCACATGTGTCTACTGGAACTCATGACCACAAACCATGTATAACCAAACCTCGTGTGTGAATGATGAGCAGGTATACAATGGTTGGACCCATGAATAATCAAATCCGTGAAAGCTAAGCCCGCAAATGTTGAGGGTTTACTGTACTGTATTTATAAAAAATATATGAAATTTGTTCTTGCAATTTCAAACAAATCACATAAGTAGGGGAGTAATGGATGCTTGATTATTCCTTTTCCATTATTGGTGCAGATTTTTTACATATTGTTAACAAGGCATCTAATTTACAATGAACTTGACGAAAGGGAGAATTTATATCAGGTGGAAGAATTAACTTTATGGTGGAGTAAGTTACAACACTTTACATTTGGGTGTGATAAAGGTGTACTCTTCATATGTTAATCACATTCTTTTTTTTTTTAGTTTAAGACTACTTGGATAGAAAACATGTACAATAATTTACAGTAATGCAAACTTTTCATGTACTCTGGAGTATTTGTCCCATACACTGGAGTTCATGTATGCAAAAATATATTGTACTGGAGGAATGAGTTAGTACTGCACTTTTGTGGCAAATGCTTCATTGCAACAGATTTTCTGTTGTTCTGGACTGACCTATGCAATTAAACTATATTACTCTGGTAAAGTTACATAATGTACTCCTGTATTAGAATTTCAGGTTTCACAGGTAACAAGAAGATATGTATATACCATCGGCTTATATGCACGAATGGAAGAGAAGGGCAACTGTCTGAAGATTGCATTTGGTATGCAACATTTTAATTTACCTTTACAGTACATTTATTGTGTTCATTGTGTTTACCAGCTTTCAAAAAGTAACCTCATAAGATTTAAATTTTATTCTGTGGGGTGTTGTATCACTGGAGTAGGTCCTCACATACCATAACTGGTATTAACTTCTGCTTCCCAGAGATAGAAGTTTGTTCTTAATATTGTGAAAGTAAATTCATCAAAACAATATTTTGTGCCAACTTCTTTGCTTTCAGACATTGGTTTACAGCCAAAATAACAGCACTACTTTCACTTATCTATACAGTACTATGATGTGCCTAACCATTTCAGATACTCAGTTTGTACATCTGTACAGTAGTATATGTATTTATTACCACAGCTTTGTCTTTACTAGGGTTCTAAGGGAGAGGATTATTATAAGAATATGTACAGTAGGTCATTGATTTACGTCGGGGATTTGTTCCTAGAAAACGTGACAAATAGGACACACTCTTTCCATAGTGTTATAATTGGGGGATGCTTACCCAGGCCAAATTTTCAGACACCTTCATCTAATGTAAACCTCACTCAAGTAAACTAGAAACACATAAAGCAAATTTATACAGAATGCAAATGAAAAGTATAAATAGGGTACTCATTAAAAAATAAAACCTGAGATTGGTGCAACAATAATTTGTTTCAAGATAAAGCAGGAAGGGCAGTGATTACTGTATTGTATGTATAAAAGAATTTTTTTTTTCTTTCTATAATGTCATATTCTGATACCACGCACTCTGTGTGTGCGTACATGTGTGTGCGTGTGCTTTATCTTGTATGGTGCACTGGTATTGAAAATAATTTTCTTCTATTATTACTTACAAACAACAAATCACTCTGGGAGAATACTATAAGAAATGTTATGAAAATAAATTGTTGCAATCCTGTAAACATTGTGAATGTAAACCATATAGGACAACATAGTAAACTGCTGCACATCTTTTTTTTTGTCACTTCTGAAACACTAATACTCACAGACTGTACCTCAGTGAGAGACAGTCTTGCCCACACTTCCAAAAATTTACTAGTTTGTTTGACATATCTTAGCATGGTACAATACATTGTCCATTTTTTTAAATACAGTATGAATTTCTTACATTAAATGGGAATTTAAATTCCTTTTTAAAGTGGTCAATTTGTAGTTTCGACCAACCACAGCTCTTGAGTTGCGCAATGTGTTTTTCTGATGGTTTTTAGAATTTTAAGACACCTTTCTTCTAAGACGCTTCCTTCGTAAATGACCACCTAACCGAGGGCGCTCTGCCCCCCTGGATCCCCCGGTATATTTAAGTCATTTGCGAGGGAAACATTATTGAAGAAAAGTGTCTTAAAATTGTCTAAACCACCGGAAAAACAAATTTCTCAACTTGAGAGCCATAGTTGGTCGAAACTACAAAATGATTTCCAAATTGGGATGTCAAATGTTTAACAATGATTACATGGCTGATCTGAGGAGATTGATACACACAATAGTTTTCAAAATTTGTCTTTGGGAATTACATCATGAAAATTTTATATTAATTAATTTTAGTACTGTATATTTTATACATAGTGATCTGGAGTTGTTTTAAGATATTTTTACATACCCTAGTACAAATCCAAAGTTGTTTAGAACAAGTGTTATCACATGGGAAGGCAGGTTACTACTGTTTGTCAAGTGTGAGAGTGGGTGGATGGCAGGACCTTCAAAATACTTGTACTGAATGTAGTGTGTTGTCCAAGTGCTCATTTTTTATTAACTTTTACGAATGACATAATTGCCTCAGGCTTCCAAATATCTGATTTCTGAGGTTCTACTATACTGTATATATATATATATATATATATATATATATATATATATATATATATATATATATATATATATATATATATATATATATATATATATATATATATATATATATATATATACAGGAGTATGCTATAACGAACGGTTTTACCTATAAAATTGAGAATGCTATAACGAATGAAACTCCTACAACAAACATTATTTAAAAAAAAATTTTTTTTTTTTTTTACTAATTTATTGTTTTTTTTATTACAAGTATTAATGATATTCTTTATTTCAGGGGTTTAGATGCATATGTATGCACTTTTTTACAATTTTTACAATTTTATATTATAATTTTCAGTGTTAAGTGATTGTATTTGGGGACCTGGAACGGATTAATCCTATAATGAATGAATGCTATAACGAACAAGGTTCTAGAACCAATTAGATTCGTTATAGCATACCCCACTGTATATGCATATATATATATATATATATATATATATATATATATATATATATATATATATATATATATATATATATATATATATATATATATATATATATATATATATATATATATATATATATATATATATATATATATATATATATATATATATATATATATATATATATATATATATATATATATATATATAAGGAAATAATTTTAAGGTTTCTTTCATATTGATTTCCCTGTGTATAAATACTGAAAGGTGAGGCACTCACAAAAATTTCATTTTCT